GGACCCCGGGCCTGGAAGCCAGAGGCCAGACCACAGCATGTTTTCTGTCCTCACAGCTGCTCTTGCCTCTGGGCATGCTGCCCGAGTCCAGGCCGTTCCTGGCCGGGCAGTCACACCCTTCCACCCTCCTCTGCTGCCGCCCTCTGCCCAGGCTCTGAAGGGTGGCCCCCTGGGCTCCGTGTGGGCCTCCTCCTCATCTCAGCAGCCCCACGTGGTCTCACCTGGCCCCGCGAGGACCTCCCGCCCAGACCGTGTGCCCTCTAAACCTTCCCCACGCGGCCGTCTCCTTGGCAAACCTAACCTGGACCTCCAGGCCTGGGTCGGGATCTCCAGTGGTCTCCTGGGATGTCGCTCGGTGACCTGGACCTGTCATCTTGACTTATTTGGGGCAGGAAAGGGGAACACGATCCAGGTGGACATGGACTTGAATGGCTGTCAGCTGTTTCCTGGGTCACTTGTCTCTCCAGACCCTGCAGCTTGTGGGGAGGGCCTCCTGGGGCCCCGTACCTTCCCTCCGCCCCCACCTTCCACCCCCACCCCCGTACTCTGAATCATGCCCTCCCAGCTCGGCAGGGTGACTCTAAGGCTCTTCACCTCCTCTCACCTCTGCAACGCCTCCCCCGCTCCAGCCAGTGCGGGCTGGCCCTTTAAGACCTCCTCCACCTCCACCCCTGCAGCCCGCTCAGACTTGGGTGGGTGCTGAGCCGCTGGCGTGTGCTCCAGGCAGCCCTGGGCAAGCTACCTGGAGCATCCCAGGGTGGGCCAGGTTCACCTGACTGTGCCCGGCACCTGGCACGGGGCATGTGCCAGCAAAGGTGGGACCTCACTGTCCTGCGCCTGCAGCCACGCCCCCCACACCCACTTGTCGGTCTCCTTGCGGATCTCCGCCTGGGCCATGCCCTTCAGCCGCGAGTAGAACCAGAGGTGCTCCTCCACCGTGAGCCGGTCGAAGAGCACGTTGTGCTGCGGACACATGCCCAGGTTCTTGCGGATCTCGTCCATCTCGGTCCGGATGTCG